TCCTGGAAAATGGATGAGGCCCCTCCCTTGGAAAATTGAGAAGCTGGTTTGGCAGTCACCCAGTATTATAGTCATCTATTGTTTGAAGACTATACTACAAAATGTACATTTGCATTCATTTATAGACATTTTGACTTTTTATCTTTGATAGATTGGCTTTTTTGGGGATCATTTTTGACGCGCAGCAGCCTGATTTTTCCCTCGAATTGGGGTCTTGAAAAAAATTTAGGGGTCTTGAAAAAATTTTCAAGGATTTGGTGGGGATCCTGTATATATAATGGGTAAAAACAGGGGGGCATGCCCCCCTGTAACCCCCCCAGATATTTTTTACCCCAGTGGGGCAGGCCCCCCTGGAACCCCCCGATTGGTCCAAAGCATGTCTATCTCGGTTAAAAACATCAAATATTTCAAAAACTATTAATTTAATGAAGTTGATATTCTTGTTCAGCGCATCAATAGTTAGTAGAAAATAGACAACTGGTAGTTGAGTGTGAGACGGGAGGGAAAGTAAAAAAATACCTTACCCTTCTTTCTTTAAAAAAAAAATAAAAAAAATAAACTGTTCAAGTTGAAGTGCTGATTGGAAGGACGGCACTACTTGGATATGGTGGTCCCGACTTTGGTGACAGGGAAATATTTTATAACCCAGTGAAAATCTAGATCTAGATAGAATCTAGATCTAGATTCTAGATTCTAGATCTATATTCTAGATCTAGATATATAGATCTAGATTCTAGATCTCTAGATCTAGTTTTGACCCCAACGACGATTACTTCTGATTCTAAGTCAAAACAATTACTTTTTTTTTCGCGTGCCGATATGGAGAGAGCCTTTCAAACCTAATTGCAAAACATCAAATTGTGGTCAAATTCAGAGGGGCATGCCCACCTGAAACACCCCATGTTTTTTTTTTTTAAGTCAGGGGGGCAACCCCCCTTGCCTTGTGAAAAACAAGTGAATTTTACTGCTCATTTTGTCGACTAGATTCTAGATCTAGGTTACTGATAAAACATAAAACATTGATACGGACTATTTAAATCAGTATCGATTTTCTGTAGGCTTACACAAAAGTCGGGACCACCATATCCACCAAGTAGTGCCGAATAGCCTAGATTTTATCAAAAAGTCCTCATCATTTTTAGTCCAGCCTGCTTGGACTTGGATTACTTGGAATTGGAGATTACAGACCTGCCACTCATCCCGATTTTACCGAGATATCCCGATTTTTTGCCCCAAATCTCAAGCATCCTGATTTTCCCGATTTCAATCGCCAGTATCCTGATTTTTTGTCGTTCCGTCTGATTCTTAGGAAAAAAAAAGTTGTATGCATTCTCTTTTGCTAAGAAGCACCAATTAGACTTGGAACTTGGGACACTAGATCTACTTTCTAAAAAATCTATGCCAAATCTAGATCTAGATCTAGATCATCTAGATTCAAGATCTTAGAGCTTTATTGTCAGCGTTATTACGTCTACTTACCTGAGTCATGATTCTGTGATGGATTACCAGAAGAACGATTATGTATCGGTGTCACCGAAGTCAGTAATCCTGATATAATCCGATTGTGATCCTACATCGGGCTCCATGACTCGAAAAACAAAGTCCTTATACTGAAAAACAAGTTCATATCCATTGGGCCTTTTCACGTAACAACAACAGTTCGATACAAGCTGGTAACTTTCGTTTCTGTAACCACCGATGATAGGCGAGTTTCGATTTTCCTCCAACTTTCCAAGACAACGAAGCGAATACAAATCTGGATCGTTAGATCTATTCTTATCGCTACATCTCCTGTTTTACAAATCAACGAAACTGAAATAACCAGTCTTTACAAAGGAAATTTGTCACAAATCAGCTGAAAAAAACAATTAGAACGAGTGAAGTCCAGAAACCGGTACACAGAACTGAGGCAAGTTTGAGGCAAGTTCCTGTGAAGTATGTGAAGTTCCCGTGTGGGAGTTTCCAAGTGGGCCAACTCGCAGTTCACTGTCAGCCCAGCCCCTGGCACACTCTTCTGTGTTGTCTCTGTTGTGTGTACGAGCGAGCCTCGATCCCGCTGCGCCAGTGGCCCGGATAAAAACATTCTCACCTTTCTTTGACAGAGACGACCAATGAAATTCAAGGAACGTTTTCGCTCTCGCCCAATCAGAGATGAACATTTAGAAACTCTCACACGCCACGAAGGGTAATCGAGAATTTTGTGCACGCTCTGCTGACTTGTAGGCTCGGTTACATTCCTTTGACTGTAGGCTTGGCCAACCTGAGAGACCATTTTGAATTTAAAGCAACGAAAGCTATAGATCTAGCTGGATTTTTAATGTTTATATGTGTCACGCCCTATTGGATCTGCGCTTAGATTTTACACACATCCACCTACCCACCTCCCCCCCTC